CTTTCCCCTGACGGCAGGGGGTCAGACTTGATGATCTGCTCAGGTCCCTTCCGACCTTACCAACTATGAAACTTTCATTGTGTTCACCTATGACTTTATATAAATATGATAATGATTGCAAAAGTAAAGCAGTACTCAACAATACATGATAAATATCATATGCTATTTTCTTCTAACTGTTTCATGCTGTTCTGCTTTCATTGCAATAGGTAAGTCGTTCATCTTTGCTGGTTGAACAGCCTGTAGAAAAAAGGCTTTTAATGGAGGGTCAGGTCATGAGTGTTGTGTGTGTTGAGTCAGAGCTACAGAATACAAAACATGCTGACAATTCCTCTGACACAGAGATAGAGGACATGATTACAGAAGGTAAGCATGTTGCATTTAATTCACATTCTTCCCTATATTTGCAGAATTGAGAAAACTGTGCAGTCTACATTTGTATTCTTTCTCTGAAATCCTCTCCACATTATACTCGGTTAGAAATATCTGAAACCATTTTCAAACAGTCAAATGCATACTTTATTTATGGTTGGTGTGAATGTACATAGTGTCAAGAACTATCTAGAACTAACTTGTGTAATAGTCAATACTGTGTTTTCTTGCATGGCACACTCCCAAATAAGATGTTCACCTTGTTTTTGGAAGGCAGAATGTAGAAAAAAGATTTTCTAGAGTTGTGACTGACTGTGACAGAATAAGTCCTCCTGGAAACAAAGTGTCAGGAAGTGTTGCATCTGGGGGAGAGTCTGGATGGGGTAGAAGGAGCTTCCTGCGGTGGTGGGAGATCAACAAGACTGTCCCTTGCAAGGACAGTAGTAAGACTGTTACTTCTTTACTGTAAATAGCTCTTTTTGTAAGTTCCTGTAAATAATAGTGTTGCATCCAAACTGTAGTATTTTGATGATGCTTCTGACTGCATGCAGCAGCTCACTCATCCTCAGCCAGTTCAGTGGCTCTCCAGCCAAATGCTACTGCCTCATCATGTACTGTGAGCGGGTTAACACAGGACTCTGCCCTTGCAACTTGCTGTCCCAGGGAGAAGCTGCAGACATTTAACATGGTGTCTTTCTGTTGCTTGTCTTCCCTACTTCTATTCCAGCAAAGAAATATCAGCTTCCCCACTTAAGACACGCATCCCAATTTATGGGGGGACATGTGCATGTGGTATGTGAGAAAATACAGCAGCATTTTCTTGGGTTAGCTAGCACAGTGCTCCCCCCCCCCCCCCCCCCCCCCAAAACAAGGTGGGGTCAAGCAATAAATCCATAAGATGGTTATAATAGTTTTTAGAATCTTGGTTGTTACACTTTTTAAATATAGATCTATTATTAATATTCTTCAAGCCTTGTGTAGGTAAAATCATAAATGGGAGAGATGGAAAGATCTAGATCTTTAAGTCGATAACCCTGCAAATCTCAAATTATTCTCTAAAGCACATTTTTAAGTATGCCATTAAAAGCCCCAGTTTCTGCAACCTTTCTTGGGAATCTCTTTATAGATTACAGTCAGGAAACATTTTTAATAATCAGCCTGTATTTTTCTTAATCACTTCCTGTAACTATTGGTTTATGCCTCCTTGCATACTTTCTCTCCTTCAAATATCTGTATTGTTATCCTTTCATCTATGCAGAATGAGTAAAGTTATACCCTACATGCTACCTTTTCTGCTCTTTCTTCATAATGGCTGTAGGAGCTGGAATTGCTTGATCTCCCACTGGTGAAAGTGACGTAATGTGATGGGGAAAGGATGTTTATTTATATTGCGTCTCAACAGATGGACCAGCTCAGAATCAATCTATTTAATTATTAACTTCTGGCACATTTTCACTGTAATGATTTATTTCCATTATGCTTATGAAAAAAGAATTTCGGGTGCTGAATGAGGGGAAATGGGTTGTTTCTGAACAATTCTGAAGTCAAGGATATTTGTTGATATTTCTATAGTAAGAATTGAGTAATTGGTGTGGATTTTTATTGAAAGCTAAGATTCAGTTCACAGTTTAGATGATATTGGGACTCTACTGTGACGTCAGATTAGGGATAACTTTTCATCTGAAGATAGAAGATTTTGAGAGGCAGGTTAGAACAGGCACGCATTACTGAATCATAAGTTAGCTTGAAAACATAAGTAAATAAAGATGTAATAGTCTACTGTGTGATAATGGGGACTCTTTGCAGACGATGTAGAACACATGAGATTGTGACGGATTGTCTTGGGTATCCAGGTTGTAGCCGTATCGATCTAGAGGCAAAAGGAATCGGAGCTTATGGTAGAAGTGATATATTTTATTAGACCAACTAGATTTCTGCAAAATCTTAGCATTTTATTTGGCAGCCTTACCTTTCTTTTAAATATACTTTTTAAATTAAACTTCCGACATAAAGAAGGAATAGAAATGTCACAATGTTCAGTTACTAGCTAGTCATCAATAAAACAGTGTATACCACCTAAAATGTGCAACCAGTAAGACAGAGGCTGTACCTCATTTCATATAATCTTTCAATATGCTAAGGAGAGTAAGACTCTTTCAGAGTATTTTCCCCCTGAGAGCACATTTTAACTCCTGGGACTGTATATAATCTTTGAATGATAAGTAATAGAGTATGGAAAGGTAAAAATAACGATTAGCTTGTCAGGGTTTTCATAACTGTAAATTTCATAGATTTCATAGACATTAGGGCTGGAAGGGACCTCGGAAGATCGAGTCCAGCCCCCTGCCCAAAGGGCAGGAAGTCAGCTGGGGTCATAGGATCCCAGCGAGATAAGCATCCAGTTTGCTCTTGAAGGTGTTCAATGTGGGCGCTTGAACCACCTCTGGTGGCAGGCTGTTCCAGACCTTGGGGGCTCGGACAGTAAAGAAATTCTTCCTTATGTCCAGCCTGAAACGGTC